TGAACTCTGTCTCAGAAAAAAAAGAAAACATTCAGTTGGAGAAGAAAAACTGTTTAAAAATGAGAACACATGAAGATTTATGAGATCTATGGGACACCATTAAAAGAGCAAATATATGTGTATGTGTCATTGCCATTAAAGAGGAACTAGGGAATGACAAAGGGATAGAAAGTTTACTCAAAGAATTAATAACAAAAAGCTTTTCAAGACTAAGGAGAGATACAAATATTCTGGCTCTGGAAGGTCACCAATTAGATCAATCCAAATAAGGCAATGCTTAGACATAACCAAGATATTAAAGTCAAAGAGAAAAAGAGAATTCTGAGAGTAGCTGGAGAAAAGCAAATAAGGGTGGTGCCTGTGGCTCAAAGGAGTGGGGCACTGGCCCCCATATGCCGGAGGTGGCGGGTTCACACTCAGCCCCGGCCAAAAACTGCAAAAAAAAAAAAAAAAGAGGAAAATAGAAAAGAAGCAAATAAAACATAAGGGAATTTCAATATGTCTAGAAGTAGACGTCTCAATGAATACCCTGCAGGCCAAGAAAGAGGGAATGACATAGTCAAAGGGCCAAAGGAAAAAAAATGGGAAAGAGATGGGAATACTGCACCCAGCAAAAATACCCTTCAGAAATAAAAGAGACAAAAGACATTCCCAGTCAAACAAAAGCTGAGGGAGTTTATAGCAACCAGGTTGCCTTACAAGAAATGCTAAAGGAAATTCTCCAAACTGAACACCTATGTGCACTCCTACCACATAGTCCCCTTTCTCTTCCCCCAGCCAAGCTACTGCAGGGCCAATGAGTAAGCCAGGGGCCTGTGTGTGGGGTGCTGGAATGTTGAGACTTGTGCTATATCTGGAGTGTGCCCTCTTTCTAGGGACCAGTAGCCAGTGAACCTCTCCAGCACATCAGCTGCATCTTCATTATGCCCAGCCCAAATAGGTGGCTGAACACCACAATCCCAGCTGTGTAGAGACTGGGCTCAAGATCAGGGAAACCACTCCTCACTGGCACAATTCCAGATGGATGAACAGTCTGTCAGCCAGTTCCACCCAGGGGGTTTGAGTTGATCCCCTGCATGCCCTCCCTGCAGCAAGAGAGGCCCTTAACATCTGAGCAGCTGATATATTCCTAGGCCAGTAGAGTGGCAATGTGCCCTCATGATCTGAGAAAAAATCCTGCAACACCCCTGCACCCAACACTCATGCCCCTGGCTTACTCAATGGCTCTGCATCCCCATTAAAGGCCTGAGAAACAAGCCCAGTCATATCCTCAGGTTAAGCCAAGCATCCAAGAACCCACCTCTGCACCCCACACTCATGCCCCTGGCTTACTCAATGGCTCTGCATCCCCATTAAAGGCCTGAGAAACAAGCCCAGTCATATCCTCAGGTTAAGCCAAGCATCCAAGAACCCACCTCCTGGACCTGAGAAATAGCTCCAAAGTTATCAGTTCAGACTGCCCCTAGCAGATATGCTCCTGAGCTGGGCAAGCTGCCCTGCACCTGTGTCCTGGACCTGAGAAAGTCTCTTGGGTTGCTTGTGGCAGACATGCTCCTAGGCTGACCGAGAAGATGTGCACACATGCACCAGACCCAGGAAACAGCCATATGGGCTGCCTCATGTGGGAATGTCCGAAGGCTAACTGAACAGCCCTAAACTTGTGTTCTGGGCCTAGAATGTGGTCCTATCAGCCACCCTGCAGAAACACCCCCACGCCAGGCAAACAGGTATGCAACTTTGGCATGGTCTTGAGATATAGCACTGAGCCCATTCCTAGCAAACAGGCTTTATGTCCCACTGTAGATGACTATAGTTAATAATATATAGTTTTAAATAGCTATTAGAACAATATTAAATACTTCCAACATGAAGAAATGTTTGCGTTAATTAATATGCTAATTACTCTGATCTGACTATTTTATATGTATCTAAACATCACTGTGTATCCCATAAATATGTACAATTATTTGTCAGTTAAAAAATAAATAAAAAGATGTAAGTTATGACTTTAAAAATACAAAATGAAGGGATGAAAGGGAATTAGTGTGAGTTTTTCCTTGTTTTTCCATCAAAGTTATCAGTTCAAAATAACTATGTGTAAGTTGTCATTGGTAAGTTGTAAGCCTCATAATAACCGCAAATCAAAACTGTTAATAAATATAGTAGAAGTAAAAGAGAAAGGATAAAAATATACTGATAGAGAAGATTACTTCACCACAAAGGAAGGCAGTAAAAGAGGAGAAACATAAGTTCTATAAAACATTAAAAATAAGCAACAAAATGTTAATAGTAGGTTCTTAATTACCAATCAAAAACATTAAATATAAAGGACAAAGTTAGAGGCACCACACTACTTGACTTCAAAACATACCACAAAGCTATAGTAACCAAAACAGTGAGGTATTGGCAAAACCAAAACCAGCCTAAAAGACCAATGGAACAAAAGACCAATAGAGAGCCAGGAAATAAATTCATGCATTTATAGCCAACTGATTTTGAACAAAGTGACAAGAACACACAATGAGGAAAGGACAGTCTCTTCAATAAATGATGCTGAGAAACTGGATATGAATATACACATACAATAGAATAAAACTCTGCCTCTCACCACATACAAGTCAACTAGAAATGGAATAAGACTTAAATGTAATACCTGAAACTATTAGAACCAAATATAGGGAAAAGGCTATAGGACATCATTTGGGCAAGTATTTCTTAGATAAGACCTGAAAAGCACAGGCAACAAAACCAAAAATAAATGAGTGGGATTACATCAAATCAAAAGGTTCTGCATCACAAAAGAAGCAATCAACAGAGTGAAGAGATTATCTACAGGATGGGAGGAAATACCTCATATTATACATCTGATAAAGGATTAAAATCCAGAATTTATAAGGAACTCATACAATGAAATAACAAAAGACAAAATAAATAACCTGATTAAAACAGAAAAAAGACCTGAATAGACATTTCTTCAAAGAAGACATGCAAATGGCCAATGGGTACATGAAAAAATGATCAACATCACTTACAAGTGGGAAATGCAAATGAAAATAAAAATGAGATACCACTTTACCCTAGGAAGAATGGTTATTATCAAAAAGACCAAAAATAGCAAATAATGGTTAGGATGTGGAGAAACCAAAACTCTTATACACTATTAGTGGGCATGTAAATTAATATAGACATTACAGAGAACAGTATAAATGTTCTTCCAAAAAAAAATAGATCTACCATATTATCCAGCAATCCTACTAATGGGGATATTTCCAAGGGAAATGAAATAAGCACATTGAAGAGTCATTATGCACTCCTGTGTTTATTGCACCATTCACATTAGCCAAAGTGTGGAATCAATTTAAATGCCCATCAATGGAAAAGTAGGCAAAGACAATGTATTATATATACACAACAGAATTCTATTCAGCCATAAAAAGGATGAAATTCTGTCACTTGTAACAACACAGATGAATCTGGAGGACATTATGTTAAGTGAAATATGTCAAGTGAAGAGATCCATATATTACATGATGTTGTTTATACATGGAATCTAAAAAAATAGATCTCACATAAGTTGAGAGCAGAATAACATTACTAAAGACTAGAGAGAATGGGTGGTTGAGGAGAGGTCAGTCACTGGGTATGATGTCGCAGTTAGGAGGAGGAATAAGCTCTGTAAATACTGCACAGTAGGGTGACTATATTTAATAATAATGCACTGTATATATCTTTTGTACTGTATATTTCTAAACACTACCATGTTTCCCCCCAAATAAGACACTGTCCTATTTTTTTTTTCTCAAGAAGACACACTAGGGCTTATTTTCAGGGGATGTCTTATTTTTATTAAGTATAATACAACAATCTACATTTATTCAAATACAGTTAAGTCATCTTCTTCTGGAACCTGACAGGGGGAGCCAACTTTGTTGGTGGGGCTGGCGCTAGTGATGCGTGAATTCCTTTCCCCTAGCTGTTCACATGTGCACAATAGGATGCCTGCTACCACAATTACCACATGTGCACCTGCACAAGTGCAAGCAGCTCAGAGAAAGGATCTATGGCAGATAAAAGGTATTCTAGTCTTCCTTATTGCTCTGCACTGAAATGCATGGCGTGGCTATGCAGATGCGCTGCATAGCCACGCCCATCACTGGGTCTTATTATTGGGGTAGGGCTTATATTTAACAAATGCATAGGAATCCAGCTAGGGCTTATTTTGGGGGTAGGTCTTATTTTCGGGGAAACATGGTAGGTGAGATTTTGAATGTTCTCAAAATAAAGAAGCAATACATGTCTAAGGTGATGGATATGCTAATTGTTATAATTTGATCATTACACATTTGTACTCCATAAATATGTAGAATTATATATACCATAGGTATAATTATATACATAGTATATAAATATCCATTAAATTAAAAAATGTATATATGACCCTATCACCATCAAATTTGTTATATGATGCTCACTAACTTAGCATGTGGGTGATTTTCCCCAGATTTCTGTTAGTTTGATTAATGAATCTTTTCTCAGGTCTACAGTCAGGCCAATGCCCAGATTCTAGTACCATTTACGTTGTGTGACTTGGCTAAACTCAGGTAATCCTCCTATCCTGTGGTTTTCTGTCTATCATAGGATCCTACCCATGTGGACAGAAAATGTGGAATTTTTTTTTTAAAGAGATATCTAAGCTGTATCACAGATATTTTGATTCAGAATCTCTGGAGCAGATTTATGATCACATTTCTTTTTAAAAAAGAAATCATAGTTGATTATTTTCTGATGCAAAAAGAATCTTTCAAAACCAATTGAGAATAAAAACTACCAACTCTAGCATTCATTATAACAGAGCTACTGCCACTAGGAAATGCAATATTTGAATATTTGTTCTCATTCACTCTATTTCTTAGGCTGCTTGTAGAGATATGAAAGATATCTTTTTGTGCACCAAAACCAAACAAATAAAAAAAACCCATGTAATAGGGTGATAGCTGATATATTATCTGGCATACACTTTACTTTTTCCAGAGAATAAACAGGTGGAATGAAGACACATCTTTTCAACGAGTATTGCTTTCTAGAGGCAAAGTCAATTTTTCTTAACCCATTTCCATAGGTCCAATAGAAACTTAACACATTCTGTAATATCTTGTCTAACAATCATAGTTTGCAAATATTTGAATATCTCTATTTCTTTAGCAGTTTTTAAATGGGAAGTTGGAAGATATATCAGCATTGCTAGTTAAACACAATTTCAAATTATAAATTTAAAAGTCTGTGAAATATATGATTTAATATAAATAACAGATATCACAATAGCATAAATTCTCCAGCAGGCTAGATAGATCCCAGGTAATATGGTCCAAGTTGGTTTAGAAAAAAAAAAGACATCAGGTTTTTCTCCTTATTTAGACTACTAATCCTTCCTGTCTTTTTTTTTTTTAACCTCTACCCATATTCTAGTCACTGTGATTATTAAGAGTTATAATTACCTGAGCAAATACTTTTATTTCTATTACATACTAATGATGCATCTTCCTTTAAATTTCTATGAATCATATATTCTGATTTTAATAAGAATTCACAGTTCTAACCTAACAGTGTGAACTCTCATTCCTTTTTATTTATAGTTTATAATAAATTCATAGGCTTATTCACTGTTCCATCATAAGTAAATAACGTGGGAATTCTCAATGAAAGGAGCAGGAAGTCTGCAAAAATAATGTCTTACTGAACCAGTACAAGGTTGATTGGAAACACAGCACAGAAGTGGTTTTTTCCTCAAGTACATGTTTCAACCTCTGCTACATCAGAAGGTACAGAATGTTCATTGTTCATTAAAGATTCCTTGTTGGCTTCATTTGTGACATATTTTTCATTTTCTGGTGGCTTGGTATCTTTTCCTTGATATTTTTTCTTCATGAAAAAAATTAATACAATATATAAAAGAAGTGTTGGACATCTCAAGCTTACAGACAGGCCAATGTAGACTTTTCTGTGGAAATAAAACAAAAAGATTATAATTTTATGTTATGTGAAACTTAAACTGTTCCTATCCAGTATACAGACCATAAAGGAAAAAATTGAAATTATGCAAAAAATTATTAAGACAGCCATTCTAGTGATACTTTTCTTTAGAAAATAAGTAAACTTTTATTATTTTAAAATGATCATGAAGCCATAAAACCAAACTTCAGCTGTTTCTAGCCTTCCTTGTGGAGGGAGGAAAAAACAAAATTTCAACTCCTCAAGCCATCATTTCCTACCTAAGGGGGAAGGGGACCACCTGAGAAGCATGATTGAAGTTTACAATCCAGAAGCACAGGCTGACTAAAAGATTGACACCTAATCATAGGACTATAGGATGCCAGCATCCTATACCACATTACCAAAGGCTCATGCATAGTAGTTCCTTTTAACTAATACATTATGCCTGGATGTCAAGAAAAAAAATATATTAAAGGTCAGAAAACACAGTTTGAAGAGAATAATCAAGCCTTAAAACCAGATCTAGATATGTCAGGGATGTTAAAATTATCAAAATGGGAATTTAAAACAACTATGATTGAATGCTAAGGGATATCATGGATAAAGTAGATAGCATCCAAGAACAGATGGGCAGTGTAAACAGAGATAGATATTCTCTATCAATGAGAAATGCTAGAGATCAAAAACTCTACAACAGAAATGAAGAATGCTTTTCCTGGGCTTATAAGTAGGTAGAACACAGATGAGGAAAGAATCTCTAAGTGTGAGAATAACATAATAGAAACTTTCAAAACTGAAAAGCAAAGAGAAGTAAACAGAAAAGAACAAAATAAAATATCCAAAAACTCTGGGACATCTATGTAAGTTTGTGCAATGGAAATACTAGATCAGGAAGAAAGCAAGAAAGGATCAAAAGAAATATTTGAAACATCGTGATTGATAATGTTCTTTACATTAATATCAGACACTAAACCACAGGTTAAAGAAGGTCAGAACAGAAAAGGATAAATGCCATGAAAATTATACTTAGGTCTATCATTTTCAAACCACAGAATATTAAAGATTAAAAACAAATCCTGAAAAAACCCAGAAGAAAAGTAAACTTTAACTATAGAGGAACAAAAGATTATATCAGATATTTCTTCAGAAACCACATAAGCAAGATGAGAGCAAGTGAATTATTTAGAGTTGAGAGAGAAACGCTGAAATTCTGTACCCTGTGAAATTATCTTAAAAGAATGAAATAGAAATAATGACATTCTCAGACAAATAAAAATTGAAGGAATTTTGCAAGTACATCTGCCTTGAAAGAAATGTTAAAAGAAGCTATTCAGAGAGAAGGAAAATGACACAGTTCAGAAACCTGAATCAGAGCATCAGAGAAGAAATAAGTAAAATTAAATTTTTTTCCAGATTGATTTAACAGATAACAGTTTGTTCAACAGTGATATTATATATAATATATGTGCTTATATATGTGTTCATTGCTGCTTGTGTATAAGTGAAATGAATGACACCAATGATATAAGGGATAAAAAGACAAAAAGAGTCACTTTGCTATTATAAAGTACCAACACTACCTGTGAAGTGATACAATGTTATTTGAACATGAACTTCAATTATTTGTAAATGTATATTGCAAACACTAGGACAAGTACTAAAATTTTTTTAAAACTGAAGTACAACTAATAAGTTAAGAAAAGAGAGAAAAATCTCATGTCAAAGACTCAGTTAAAACCACAATAGGCAGAAAAAGAGTAGAAGACAAAAATAGGATCAAAGAACAACTGTAAAAAATAGAATATAGTAACAAATATGGTCAATACTAATCCAATTATATCAGTAATCACTTTTAATGTCAATAATCTAAATGCACCAATTAAAAGACCAAGATTATTAGAGGATAAAAAAGCAGAGTGCAACTATATGTGAGTCTACAAGAGACCCACTTTAAATATGAAGACTCATCTTCTATATTTCTTTTCTGAATGTATTTATCTTCATTCATTCATTATGAAGTTTTGGTTCTAGTCCTTATCTTAAACATTGTTATTGTTGGTAAATATTAAGTCTTTTTAATTCTGTGAAGGCAAAAAGTGGAAACCTAATAATCACATGTATATGTAAAAAATAAAAAAATAATTTAAAAAGACATATATAAATGAAAAATAACTGAATCAAGAAAAATATACCATGCTAACACTAATCAAAAAAAAGTAGTAATAGCTATAGTTTTAAACAGTGCAAACTTCAAAGCAGGGAAAGTTATCAGTGATTTTAAAAGGGCCTTATATAATAATTAAAAAGACATAACAATCCTCAACACATAAGCACCTACAAATATAGCGTAAAAATATGTGAGGAAAAAAACTTCAAGGAGAACGACTATAAGTACACACTGAATATTATCTATTGGTTCTTGGAAACTGTGGCTTTAAGTGAAATGATGAACTATGTAACAAAGCAATTTTTACCATAGGTTAATTGTTATAGACTAGAGTCAAGTTTCTATGGCGTATCATATGCTTTTTCACTTTAAGTCAGTTTCTAAGACCTTTTGATGTGGTTAAGTGAGGACTTACTGTAGATGAATCTACAACATATAGATGAATTATGGTTGAATATTTCAACATCCCTCTATCAGAAATGCAAAGTTCTAGCAGTCAAAAATCAAGAAGAGTGTAGCTGAATTCAATAACACCATCAATCAATAGTATATAATGGACACCTATAGAGTACTTCATCCAACAACACATTACACTGCATTGAGAAGAATACATATTCCAGCTGATATGAAATATTCATCAAGATAGACGACTTTCTGGGCTATAAAACATCTTAAAGAGAATAGAAGTCATACAATGTCTGCTGTCACACAATGGCATTAAACTAGAAGTCAATAAAAGAAAGATAATTGGAAAGTCCCCAAATTAGTGATGATGAAACAATACACTTCTAAATAAGACAAAGAAGAAATTTTAAAAGAAATTTGAAAATATTTTGAACTAAATGAAAATAAAAACATCAAAATTTGTGAGATAAAGCAAAATCAGTGCTTATAGGGAAATTTATAAAAAGAGGAACAATCTGAAATTAGTCTAAGCTTTTACCTTAGAAAATTGGAAATATAAAAGCAAATGAAAACCTAAAATACACAGAAAAAAAGAAAGAACAAAAATTAGAGAAAAAATCAAGGAAATTGAAAACATCAACAGAGAAAATCAACAAAACCAAAAGCTGTTCTTTTGAAAAGATCAATATAATCAATAAACCTCTTGCCAGGCTAACTCTGATAAAAACAGAAGAGACATAATAATAACTAATGAAAAAGGGGACATCACTGTGGATCCTGTAAACATTAAAAGGCTAAGAAAAGGAATATTATGAATACATGATAACCATAATTAGAATAATGTAGATGAAATGGACCCCGTTCTTAAAGATTCACACTACTCAAATTCACGTTGGAAAAAATAGACAATCTAAACAGGCTTATATCTATTAAAGATATTGAATCAATAACTACTAGCTTTCTATTAGTCATTAAATCTGAATATTCAATTTGAATCAAAACTTAAGTTTATTTTATCTCAAACAAGAAGCAGTATAATTGGCTCGGCACCTGTAGCACAGTGGTTATGGCTCCAGCCACACATACTGAGGGTGGTGGGTTCGAACCTGGCCCAGGCCAACTAAACAACTACAATAAAAAATAGCTGGGCATTGTGGCAGGTGCTTGTAGTCCAGCTACTTGGGAGGCTGAGGCAAGAGAATCACTTAAGCCCAAGAGTTTGAGGTTGCTCAAATCAGGGCACTCTACTGAGGGTGACATAGGGAGACTCTGTCTCAAAAAAAAAAAAAAGAAAGAAAGAAAGAAAAAGAAAAAAGAGAAGCAGTACAATTAATCAAAGTATGCACCTAAATTATCACCACCCTGATTTGCCATCTTAAGAGTAGCTTGTGTATGCCAGAAGTGAAGAAACTTAGAGACCAAGGGGCAAAAAAATTCTGAAAGGCATTTTTCATAGCTTGTTGAGAATTTAATATTTTTTCTTGTAAGAAGTGGTTTGAAGCCTGGAAGAAGTGAAAGTCATTGGTGCAAGGTATGGTGGATGACAGAAAGTTTTTCTAAATCGAGCTTCTGTAGTTTGAGCAGCATTGTTTGTGCAATAGCATTGTCTTGCAAAAGACTGACCTGTTTCTACTGACCAATATCAGCTGCTTAATCACAAGCATCCTCATCATTTTTACCTATTGGTTGCAGTAGACATCCACTGTAATGGATTGACCAGGTTTCATGAAGTTGCAGCAGATCATGCCAGCCCTGGACCATCAGACACCATGAGCTTTTTTTGGTGACTATTTAGTTTTGGACTGTGTTTTGACCCTTCATCTTTACCCAACCATTGTTTTGGGTGTTTGCAGTTGTCAAAGGGAATCATTTTCATCACTCGTAACAATACAGTATAGAAATGGCAGCAAAGAAAAATCGCTTTCTAGGCAATTTCACTTCTGAGGCTTATTTAGTTCATGTGGACCCATCTACCCAGCTTCTTTATCTTGCTAATTTGTTTCAAATGATCCAATATTATTGAAACTGTAGTGCCAAACCTTGATTCTAATTCACATGAATGTTGGGATAGATTCACTTCCACTATAGCTTTGAGTTCATCATTATCCACATTATTCTCAGGTTACATGAGGCTAATTTTCAAGATTAAAATCACCAGAATGGCGCTTCTCAGGCCATCAATCTACTGTGAGTTCATTAGCCACATCTTTCCTAAATACTTTGTTGATATTTCAAGCTGTCTGCACTGCATTTGTTTCATGATGGAACTCATACTCCAAAATAACACAAATTATTGACCTATCCATGGTTTCACAAAAATTACTCTAAAAAAGTTTGAAATATAATCACAAGCCAAAATATGCATTAGAAAGAGGATGTACCTTCACAATAAAAATAGAATATGTCAAAGTGAAATATCAAGGATATCAACTGTC